AGCTTCGAATCCCGTGGGAGTCGAAGCTCCTGAATACTGCCTTGTCCAGACCCTGCCCAATACTCCACTATCCTTACACAGCTCTTACCTCGAAAGCTCCAGCGCAGCACTTCCCTGTGCAGATGTCAGCTAGCTACACCACCAGAACACAAAACACAGCTACGCGTTGCTAAGTAAAGACATATTACCATGGCAACAGGCTAGCTGCAAAATAACTGACTGTAACTGTTTTGTTGTCGACAGATCTCGATAAAACAATAACTACAAATGATGCAGAGCTCCCTGAGAGGAAAATAAATACATTTCACTTCGGCGAGATTCAAATATGATGGGTGCAAGTATAAATTCAACAGCCTGTTAAAGTTTGGACAGCAGCTGGTTATAAAAATCAAAAGAGTAATGCGCGGATACTGCAGGATCTCTACTGCCCCCTTTTAAGCTCTGCTCCCAAGTTAGGCTGCTTTGCTGGGGCAATCTTACAGACTCTCTAGCTATTATGCTCTAGTAGGTAGGCAAATGAAGCAGGACCAGCTGACACTGGGTTTTGGCAGTGAACCCGCAGGAAAATTGAGGGATTCTACATTATTCCCTATTGTACTCAATATAATGCTGCTGCTTTGACAGGAAGTGTTTAAACCAAACTACAAATTTCATGAAGATGGTTATGTTGAGGTCAAAAGTCACTGGGTAGGAGTCTAGGGATGGGTGAAGGCCCTGACTGCCTTTCTCACAGCTCCAGTTCTGGATGATCAGAAATTCTTTACCTGCCAGTAATGTTCTAGTGCAGAAGAGAATTTAAAAATAAGCAGATGTTTACGAATGCTCACTCCTTGCTTTGAAGGAATCTGAGGATTGTGGGGTATTTGCCCCAGCGCTGCGGAGTCTCCCTCATACAAAAGATGTATGAGAGACGCACGGGCTTTTAAACTCGGTTTTGAAGGGGATATTTCATCTCGTTGAAGGCACTGCAGCATTTTCTTAAATGTTGCTGCAGCTTTAGCAAGCCAGATTGAGGCATTAACGTCTGGAATCCCCCTAAAGGCAGAGCTTTCAGATGTAGTCCTGTGGGGTAAGGCTTTAACTCTGCCTGCCTGAATCTGAGAGAGGAGGCCTGGACTGCGTTAGCGTGAGGCTGCAGAATACGGCCTGCGGGCTAAATGTAGTTGAGCGCGTCTAACACATAGACCTTCCCTTACACACTCTCTTACACTGTAGCAATCAGCAGAAAAGAAATAATTAAGCTAATGGACATTGTATTAAAGCCTACATACAGCTTATCATCATTAAACCGTGACTCCATGTAGCTCATACCTCACTATGTATTATTTACATCTGTAACTAACTGGAACTTTTTTTTTTGTAACCCCTCAGATTTAATAACATTAAGATTAAATGTTTAATCTTCCCTCAGGCCCTGAACACATTATGGTGTGATTCGCCTATTAAGCGCAGAGATCAGTCAGTTTAAAATTTTCAGATCAGAAAATGTGTTTTTGCCTTTACTGCTTAAGCAAAAAGAAAGCACAGCTAACTCTTTCACTGGGACTACAGTGCATTTACTAACCTGGTTTGTCTCCACATCTATAGCAATGACAAAGACTGCTTCCACAAGGCCCTAGCCTTTCTAATCCATCCGCAACACATCTGACATATTTTTCACGTGCTGATGTACTGTACAGTATTTCACTCAGACAACAAATTGGATTCTATTGCCTGTTGAATTACATTTCAGAAAAAAAACTGACCTGTTTCACACATACATCTGCTTTTATGCTTTCATATTACAGTGACCAAATTAACCCTGCATTGTTATGGCACAGACTGTGGTGACTATAACGTACGAGTCAATGAGAGTATGTGGAAATCGTGGCTGTGATCTCTGTATTCCTCCAGTGTAGTGCGTGAACCTATTTTTTGTCAACTGTGAATTAAACAGAATATGGAAATATGTTTTGTAAACACAGTGAATCCTGGACCCAGACCTCAGAACTATTATTTTTTTTGCTATACTCTGCAGTTTTCAATCCCGTGCTCCATCTTTCATCACACATTTATTTAATTCCCACATTGAGCAAATACTAAAGAAGGGATTTTTTAAAGGATTCTTCTATTTTTAATGACTTAACTTATTTTAAACCAGGCTTAAACTTTTAGATAGATATGAAGGTATTGCGATTAAATTTTAATTATGATGGCACAATTTCACTGTGTGTTAAACATGGAACCCCAGACGAAGCAGACAAACTCTGAAAGGCCAAACCTTTGAAAATGAGTTAGCTGCTGGGATATAAGTGGCTTGAAATGTTGATGCAAAAACAATGTCTCCAAATGAGATTTTCAACTCGCAAAGCTTGCTCAGTTTAACAGACACTTCAATTCAAATGTGCTGCGTTCTAAGTTACACCATGACTCTACATTGATATTAAACCCCAGCTATTAAAAGGTGTCATTACCTTTAATGCAGAAGCCAAATTTAGTAAAATTAATCAGGAGTCATTTTCCAAGGCTGCAGTTTTAAGAGCTGCCTCACTTTTCATTCAGTTCAATCTACCGGATGGTCTTTGTAATATACTGACATGTCCCAGGAAATAAGTCCATCTATAGTAATTAAGTACAGCAAGGCAGTTTTCCATGTAATGGCTTAATAAGCTTAGTACTTTCAGTCTTTCAGGATTTTCCTGGACATCGCAAATGAACGGAGGCCTCAAAACAGGGTAAGTAATGATACTTCCAAGAAAAAGTGAATACACAGGTCAGTCTGCTTGTTCTACTCTGCACTTGAGTAAATCGCTACAGCAAGGTATTCATTTCTGGGTAATGATGGTGATCTTGATCATTAAAATCCTCAATATGACAGAAACAATAAACACAAAAAATGAAACCCAATCCCAGATACAATCTGAACCAATGCGGGGACTTTTCACTGAACCAACATCACATTGTATTAAATCACTTTTTGCTAAAGTTTATAAAGTTTCATTGTGATCACAAAATGAATTAATTGAAACAAACTGCATATGGCATGTAATGTACAAATCTTTGGTCCTGAAATTATACTTAATTTAGTTTGACAATTAAATTTACAGAAAGACACATTAGGAAGTTTATTACATTTAATCAGAAACTATATCATCTATCTGTGAGGTCTTTTACGTCTACATTTTACAGATCCGAGAATGAGATGAAAACAGCTCTTTGGGTTTCAGTCACCCCCTTCAACATGGAGGCAGTAACGAAGGCAGCCCCCCTAACATCACCCTCTGTTTGAATGGCTTTTCCCACTGATGAGAGGCCAGAGCCCATATATGAAAGGTCTATACAGCTGACAGTGCAAAGAAAAGAAGTGTGATAAGGGAAAGAACCAAGACCAGAAGGTTCAAATACGACAATGAGCTTCTTCAGGGGGTCCGCATACAGCATATTCCTGAATAATCAGTTAGTGAGGATGGCAAATCTTCAATGGGGTTCATTACTGATCATGATGAACATAGGGAATACTGAATGACATGAAGGCAACCCAGAACATTTCAAATTTACTAAATAAACTTTGCTACATTGCCTTGTTATGGAACTATACATTTTGGTGAACATTTCTAGACATTCTTTTCCTTCGGAACAAAAGTGGTTTGTGAACACTTTAAAACCTTTATAAGACGCTCAGATCAGCATGACAAAAGCATGGCAGAGGAAGCTAAATCATGAAATGGTCAAAATACTCCACAGATTGTAAAGCTCATCTGTAGCATTACGAAACAGTCTACGTCACCTGGTTGCGAGTCGAGGGCAGTGTAAATAATGAATGTTCTGTCTGTATTTAAAAATTATATAAAAATATATAAAATGATTTAATTATATTACTGGTGTACAGCCAGACAGACTTCATTTGATATTAAGGTTGTTGGGTGGAAATCCTTTGGTGTCATAAGAAAAGTATCCATTCAACGCGCCTGTCTGTCTGGGACTCTCAGACCTCCAAGATATATATCTTATATATATAAGATTGCTGGACACCATGTTTCTGATCCTTCATTTCATAACTTAATAAGAGGAGGCAATGGAGTGTCCTAGTATTAATTATGACAGCAGATGAGTGTCAGTGCAGCCTCACGCCCTGAGCTGAAACGAAGAGCCCTGCTTCTATCCAGATACGGCCTAGTTAGTCGGCTGAAATGCAGAGGCTCATGGTGGAGACTCCAAGTGATGTGACAGCTTGCTGTCTCAATTGAAGGTGAAGGCCAGCTGACTGCTTACAGACGCTGGCTGCTGCTGGTGTGACTCCTGATAACCTGAAGCTCACAAAAGTACCTGTGACTATGAATCCAGCTGCAGCCTGTATCTCCTGATCTTAGTCAGTAGCAGAAGAAATATATGGCTTTTTAAAAAAATATTCTTCAGATATAGGAAATCCATCCATCCATCCATTGATCCATCCATACCTCCATCCATCCATTCATCCAGGTCCTATACCCCCTCATCCTATGCAGGGTTATGGGAGTCTGGAGCCTATCCCAGATGTTATGGGCACAAGGCTGGGAATACCCCAGATGGGGCACCAACCCATCACAGGGCACACTCACATATAACCTACAGGTAACAGGGGAACTCCAATTCACCTCTGCATATTTTCGGATCCTGCGGGAGAAACCCCACAATGACACAGGGAGGACATGCAAACTCCACACACATGGAGCCATGGCAGAAACTCAAACCCTAGGCAACAATGCTAACCCCGGTGCCACCATGTCCCCTTAGGAAAAACATGGCAATAAATCAAACAAATATGTAGTTGTCTATCCGTACAGAAATCAGAACTATTATTGTTGTTCAAAGTCACAAATATTCATTTTCGTGACTATCATAAAATGAGGCAGAATGTTAAACTGAAAACCAACTAACATTAATTTTGCCTACTTTTTAAGGTTCTGACTTGTGATTCCTTCCTCTCCTATAGACCGAATGCGTGAAAGCGCAAAGCAAGCAGAAGGACACGAGCCACTTACGGAGACAGGTTCCATCCAGCTCCTCGTGGCCTATGCTACAGATGCAGCGACCCAGGGGCACCAGCCAGTCTCCGTCAGCTCCGCAGTAGAGCTTGGGCGTGTCCCGCTCCTCCGCGTTGCTTATGCAAGTGCCCCTCACCTCTACCAAAGAGGAGGAGTCCATGCGAGGTATGGTGTCTGGGAATGTAGCCAGGTTGTGGAAGGTGAAAGGGCACTTCTTGTGATACACACGCACCGAAACCAAGGCGATACAGGCACCAATGTCTTGGAAGGCCAGGTAGAAGCCCTTCCTGGTGATGGGTCCCACCTCCCGCACTTCCGTGTTGAGCTTGAGGATGCGGTCGCCCAGGTCCATCTGCGTGAAGCTCTCGTCAGCCGCGATGGTGTCGATCTTGGTGTACTCTGACGGCCTGAACCTGGTGCTGTGCGGGTCATTGGACTCCATGTAAAAGAGGTTGAAGGTCTCCTTGCAGGTGCCCGACACCCAGGGGATGCTGTTGCAGTCGCGCAGTGTAAAGCGCAGCTCCACGTAGATCTTCTGTGCGGCCTCGCGGGAGATCCAGTTGGAGCGCAGCCAGTTGTTCTGGTTGGGCTCCATCACGTGGCACACCTGGAACGTGTGGATGGGCCGATTGTGCTCGTCCATCTCCGTAATGGCGTCCCACTGCGGAACAAAGAGGCTCAGTTACTTTGTAGTGTTTAGGTCATCCAAAGAACACAATGGAAATGGTGATGTGCGATGCTATGGGTCAGAAATAGAGTTAGAATTAAATTAACTTTGATACCAGATTCATCAGAGTACATCTTCGGGCTCCATGACTGCTTCAGTACCTCATAGCTTATCTTACACTATTTTCTGGTTAATGATCCTTTGCTTACACCTTAAAAACCAATCAAAATAGTACAAAAATCTCCTGACCATACCGATAATTCTAAGAGTTATTTGCAAATTGCCATTTGTATAGTTAAGGCAATATATTTAAATCCAACAGCTAAACTCATATTAAGAGGAATAACAACATAACACCTAGTTTTATTTATCTTATTGTTTCGCTGAGTGTTAATCCCTATTATACTGTATAATACAGTATTTCCTTCACAAATTCAGTGGCCTGACTGATCTTTTTTGAGTAAATCTTTTCAGAGAGAAAGGATCGGATCTGGCAAGCTTGGATGCAGAGTCTCAGACTGGCCCGTGTGCTTGGTGTAATATGTGCTAATGAAGTACAGCTGTCAGGGCAGAGGACAGAACAGGCAGGCAGACACAGCACCAGAGACGGCGTCAATCAGCAGAGCTGATCTCACTCAGTCTGAATGAGATTCCGCACAATCACTTAATCTGTCTGTGGGAGATCCTGAACAATTAAAGTCTTCATGTACAGTAACAATGTGCTTTCTAAGAGTGATCTGCATGTCAGAAAGACTCTAGTATTAAGCTTGTAAACTGGCTAGGAACCTGTGTGCATCCTCTGTGAGGCTGAGAAACTGAAATTCAAGGTTAATAGAGGCAGATGACTTTAGAGAGAAGCACCAAGATAAATAAGCTGGGTAAACTTAAGGGGATGTATGGTGGAGGGCTCAGGCCGTGATTCCTGTGACTGCAGTCGGTGCGACTTGGCGGTGATTCTGTAACAACAGGCAGGTCCGTGCTTCCCTTCAGCAGGTGAACTGCAAGCATGTCAAACAGGGGCTTACAGCAGCTGTCGAACAAATCAGCGAGACCGAACGAATCAGCCAGACCGGACCGAATCAAAAGAACTGAATCGGACAGCCAAACTGGGTACTGCGTACCCAATCAACCAGAAAGGCCCACAGGAGAAGAAGAAATGAGAAACGCCCGTCTGCCCGGGCAGACCTGAGAGAATCAAGGCAACACTCAGACACGTTCAGGCAGTACAAATGCAGCACAGATTGAGAAAATGATAATGCTTTATCACATATGCGACAAGTTCCTATTGTACCATTTTCAGTGCAATTAACTCATTTTAAAATAGCAAAGGTGCTGAATTTTTGATAGCTGGCGTAACTGGGACAGTATTTTATTCTTTTTTGGAAACAGTCAATGTTGCATAACTTATGGGAAATGCTGGCTTTGAAATGCTTAGAAACTGTGAATGAGTCCATGACTGGAGAAAACATATATAACACAGAATTCACTTCAAAGTCAGGTGCTGAGCTGTGATGAGTTATACAGATGGTAAGTCCTGTTATCTTGGGCCCAAACAATATCAGCCACAGAAAGCCACACCAGTGAGAGTGAAAAAACCAAAACAATCAACAAAACAAAACAATGTCCTCCATTGTTTTCTTCAGTTGTTTAAAATTCAGGTTCACAAGTAATTTCTTTAATAATTTCTTCTTTTGGTCTGTATTTTATACCCTATGCCTGATAAATTATTTACTGTGAACCTATTTATTGCAAGTGAAATTTATGCAAATATCTACTGTCCTATTTTGCATATATTTGCAGAAATGTTTTTTAGTCTTGTGGAAAAAAAAGCTTTAAAATACGTTATTAAATAAATACACATTTACACCATTATTTATGAGTTTATGTTAATCATCCTTTTTACATGTGGAAATTAGCTCGAAGAGTTGAATTGCTAATTCTCAAAGTAATAATAATTCATCAGTCCATTTTCCATAACTGCTTAATTAGTACAGGGTCACAGTGAGTCTGGAGCTTACCCCTGGAAGCACAGGGCACAGGGTAGGGTGAGCCGTTGGACAGGATGCCAACACAGGGCACGTGCACAAAGGCTCAGGGCAATACAGGGACAGTACAGGCGGAACATATACATTCTACAGACAGAGAGTCAAAATCACAGCCCTGGGGTGTGAGTCCACTAAGCGGCATCAGCATTAATACTACAACCGATATACAGTATACCAACAACAACACACAGATCTGCTCACTCATCTATACTGAAAAGTTTGCATTGTCTACTGGCAATAATATGAATCTTGTGAGCAAATCTGCCAAAGTATTATTTGAATAACATTAGCACAACATTCTTATAGTCTGCTAACTACTAGCTACTGACCTTTAACATGAACCTTAATTACTTAAATGAATTATTCAGTAAAGATCATATTTTTGCAGTTGAAGGATTCAAAAATGTTAGATAGACCTTGATATAACAGCTGAACAAATCCAATCAAAGTCGAAGCAAAGTAAGTCACACCACCTAAGCTGTCTCATCAGAGTCAAAGCATCACACCACCCAAGATGTCCCATCAGAGTCAAAGCATCACACCACCCAAGATGTCCCATCAGAGTCAAGGCATCACACCGCCCAAGCTGTCTCATCAGAGTCAAGGCATCACACCGCCCAAGCTGTCTCATCAGAGTCAAGGCATCACACCGCCCAAGC